AGATGTATTAAAAGCTCTACATTAACTAGAAATAAGATCAATTTAGAGTATATAAATCTCATCTTATAAACTGGTTTGTGAGGTAAAATTAGCTTAAAATCTCCTTCTTAACACAAAATATCATTGAGATAGCAAACGAAATTTTATGGTACACCGCCTTATTACTTCCTCCATCCTACAACGACCGGCACATTTAGCCTTCTAAAAAGTTCCAAAATAGATTGTGTGCTCACCTTTGAAGCATTATTTTTTTTTCTAATTTCTCCTAAATTTAATTATTTTCTCCATTTCAATAAAAGTAATGCATTTATAGGAAGAGTAATGGTGTGATTGGATAAAAAATTCTAATTCAGTAATTTCGTTTTAGAGAAAGTTAAAATATCGTGTGATAAAAAATGTTGTTTAGATGGAACAGTTTTAAAAAATTGAAATTCTAGAAATTCAGATTAATTTGATTATTTGAAATTATAAATTTTCAAATTTCACATTAAAGTAAATTTTAAAAATTTTAAAATTATCTTTTTTTCAAAATTATGTTTCCTTTCTTCGTACAATCTTCTCGAATCGGCTTCAGCCGTGACATTTTGACTCCTCACATTGGGACATCATCATCAACTTAATTAAGACAAGAAATTTGTCGGTTTGTTTAAGGTTAAGTCCTTGTCAGCTTGACATTTTTTTTTATTGTTGTTGACAATTTTAGATCAGAATCAATTTTAATTAATTTTTTTACCAATATTCTTAGATTTATTTTTATTAATATGTAGATTAATATTATTTTTCAATCAATATAAGTTAGAATTGTTTTAGTTAACATTACCGTTTTTCTATTGATGTCAACCTGATAGGTCTTGGAAGGTTTATGTCAGAAAAAAATAGAAAGAACAGTTAGTAAGTGGAGGTTGGAGGAGTTAGGAGGAGTTTTATAGCAGTTAGCAGTAGTTTCTTTGGGATCTGTCCTGTGTAAGGGAAAGTTTTTCCCTTGACTGTTGTTGATTGCTTTCACTGTTTCCCATTCAATAAAACTGTTTTTCCCTTGTGAGAATTCATAAACTTGTTGTGATTATTGACTCTAAGATAGTATCTAGGTTACTTGATACCAAGAATATTAGAAAGTGGGTTTTAAGCCTAACTCAACCCCATAAAACCGGCTTGTAAGATAAGGTTTGCACCTCACTTATATATTATATTTTGGCCTTATCTCTAGTCGATGTGGGACTTCCAACACACCCCCTTCACGCCGAGGTATAGACATCTCGTGCGTGATAGTAGAAATTGGGTGGTCCAATAACGGCCCGATAGCGGGTGAAATAGAAGAATAGAATGTCCACATAGAACTTGCTAGGATAGGCTCTAACCATGGCTCTGATACCATAATAGAAAGTGGGTTTTAAGCCTAACTCAACCCCATAAAACCGGCTTGTAAGGTGAGGTTTGCACCTCACTTATATATTATAATTTGGCTTTATCTTTAGTCGATGTGGGACTTCCAACAAAGAGACCTAACACAACCACACTTCTTTTCTTTTTTAATTGATGACAATGTAGATCAAAGATATTGTACGGCCAATACAAGTCAATGGTACTTTTTATTGGAATCCAAATGTGAATTTAAGTCTCACATTAAAGTTAAGTGTCTTATAAGGTAGAAAACTTATGTATCTATTGTCTTAAAGTTTTTTGGGTTGGAGGTAATATCAATTTCTATGGATTAGACCTGTGTCTAATTGGTGTTTGTATCTTCTGCGGAATTCTCCACTCAAAAGATGGTGACCAGTTTAGACGAAGACAAGGGTTTCAGACAAACGTGTCTCATTGTGGTATAACGGCGATATAAGAAGGTAACCATTGAGGTCCTCATAGTTAGGAATGTTTGTGTTCAAAAGGGAATACCAACACAGAAGGAACTCATCCTTGAAGGAAAGATTGGTAGAAACCTATTCCCTTAAGGTTTTTTGTTGGGCTCATGTCTCATTGGAATTGTATCTCCTTGGTGAATTCTCCACTTGAAAGACTCATTGGTATCAAAGCAATAGTTTGTCTTGTGAACCACTGAGGATAAAGGTTTTAGGAAATTGTGTCCCATTGTGGTATAATGACAATATAAGAAGGTCACCATTAAAGTACTCATTGTTAAGAATGTTTGCACTCAAAAGGAAAGTATACTAATGTAGAAGGGACTCACCCTTATGGTAAAGATTATTAGAAATCTAAATATAAGTTTAAGTCTCACATTAAATAAAAATGAAAAAGTTGAATGTCTTATAAGATAAAAGACCTATAAATCTATTGTCTTAAAATTTTGGTTGGAGATGATGTTAATCTCTTATATGAGTGGAGTTCACGTCTCATTAGTATTATAACTTCCAAGTAAATTCTCTCCACGAAAAACTCACCACTAATTGTTGCTACTCAAGGTTTTCCCAACTAACATTAGCATACTATTTATTTTTCAACAATGTCAAAGATACTATTTTTCAACTAATATAAAGTCAAGGATGTTTAATCATCATTGATGGAGTTATTTTATTATTAACATTTTTGGAATTAATTTTTCGTTTAGGCTAGAGATATTTCATAGTAGAGGTAAGTCAGGGTTTTATTTTTCAAAGGGTGTTAGCCAGTTTTTTTTAGTTAGTGTTTGTTGTGGGTATTTGTTGGCCCATGTTTATAACAACTGTTTTTCAATTTATTTCACTAATGTTAGTTATTTTTAGTAATTATCACTTCGGGAGATTTCCAACCTACAATAGAAAGGTTGATGAAAGAACCTAACGAATATCATAAGAGACTAATCTCAATCCAAGTTAGTCAAAATGATTATATATAATATCAATTAAAAATAACATCAAAGATGACATTAAAAAAAAATCAACGTCAATTAAAATTTTTTGACCCACTTTAGTTATATTTTGAATTATTAAGTATTGTTTATATTAAGATAAACCTTCTGAATTTAGTGATAATTCAAAAACTATCCAAACAGAAAAATAAAAAATTAATTAATTTGAATTATCTTATCTAACTAAAATATTTAAAAATAAAACAATAATTTAAATTTAATATATTTTAATTTTCTTTAAATTGAAGCCACTTTAGGACTGTTTTACTGGAAGAGTTTCAAGAAGTAACAATCTTTTAATGTGTGAAAGAAACTTATACTGTAGTGATTTTAGGATGGAATGAGTATATTACACAGATGCAAAGCAAAGTGTGTTTCAAGGTTTAAAAATGTATTCCCAAAAATGTGAATTTGGGAAAGGAATATTTCCGTTTTTCATTAGCTTTGAAAAATTATTCCTGCTACTGTGTTTGTTTCAAGGAATAAAGATTTTTCTTTTTTGCATGAGGAATGAACAATTTTCATGTTTGTAATGATTTTCAAAAAATTATTCCTATGTATTTATCATGTTTGAGAAAGTACCCACACTTTGTTTAGATTCACTTTTAGTGAGAAAGTTATATTCCCGAAGAAATCTGGGAATTTATTTTCTAATCTAATTATTTCCATTTACATTCTTCATTTTTATTCTTATATTTCAAAATTTTGAAAATAATTCTAGGAATGTTAAAACGTATCCAATCATTGTCTTAAAATGCTTTTAGGAAAATTATCACAATTCATAATATTCTTAGAAATGTGATTCTAGGAGATGCAATATTATACCTCACAACAAACACCCCATGAGTATTGATCACGTCCTAAAAGTATATATGTGGTATTTCCCTTCACGTTTACTTCCATAGTGAAGCATAAAAAGGTTATTATCTAACCGATCAGAACTTACTCATCCTTCTACAATAACTACACTTTAAACAAGACCATTATGGACCGTAAGTAAAATTCTACTCTTGCTTTCTATTATAAATTGTTTTGAATTTTAAATAATATTCCTAGGAGAATTAAAATTCAGCCAAACCTATTCTTAAATTTACTCAAATAAAGTAGGACAGTAGATAAATAAGTGCTGCTGTCAGTGATACTTTCCAATCAAAATTGGAATTTAACTTTGCAGTTGAGAATTCTAGTAAATGTCAGTAATATGAGTTTGTCCTAAATATTAATTAATGGTTCGAATATTTCGTAGAAATGTCATTGCCATAAATCCTACATAATTATATCTTGAAATGATGCCAAGAATTCCAACAACTCGACAAAGAGTATATACAAGCCATTTCAATCCAGAGTGAATAAGGATTCAGGAAAAATTACCATACTTTCTAGAACAATAATGGTTTCATCCAATTTTCGAAGTGTCATTAATTATCCTTGTAAATTGAAAAACAAATTCTGTAATTGACCTCTATCATAAACATGTGCAGTTTCAAACGATTTAATCATTGATTTTTGTAACTTATTCGATTTACTGTGTTTTCTCACAGGAAAGCAATAAATCAATAAAGGATCTCCCATCGAAACAATTCTTATGAATGGTTTTCTACATTAAAAAATATTATTCGTAATCTTCATTGTGCATACCATCATTAATTGATTTACAGTAGATTTTATATTAATAAAAATATGCAAAAAAATTCTAAATAACTTCTACTTTTATATTTTCTTAATTTAAATTTAATTATGAAACATAGTGATATGTATTCTGTTGGTATGAAATTTGACAAAATATTATTTTCTATTCTTAAGAAAAATTGTTTGTAGCAGTAACTCTAGAAGATGTATTTCAAGCAACAAATGATTATCCTAAACATACCCTAAATAACTACTAACCATTGAGATGTTTAATTGGTTATAAAAGTTTTACCAAAATTTTTATTACACTCTTCTTTAGTTTTATTCTTACTTGTTACTTACATAATATATAAAATAATAATTAAAAATAATTAGATTAGTGTGAATATATAATGAAATAAACTTAGAATTATAACATCAGTGAATTTAAAAATGATCAGAAGACAGAAAGGGAAATGGTGGGAATATATCTAGGAGGCATTGATAAGGTGAAAACGAAAACATAAAATATGAAGAGGAAGTAACTAACCTCTGTAAACAGTGAAACAGCCAAAAAGGAAAACACAAAGGCCAAGGGCAAACATGAAGAGCATTGCGACCCTGACTCGCCCAAGGCGCCGGCAAATAAAAAAGAAACCCCTCTCTTTCTCTCTGGGGTTGTAGAGGAGCGTCTTTGAAGGTCTACGCACAAGCGTGGCCACAGAAACGTTGCCGTTTTGCAGCGAACCATAGCTCCCCGTGCGCACACCCAATGACACCCCAGTCATCGTTCTTCTCCCTTCAATACCATCACCTTCCACAACTCTCCTCTCTCTACCACTATTTTCCAATTCCCCCAACCCTTTTCCTCAACAATATCAAATTATTTAACACCAACAATAGTAATCAGCAATTGATAATGATTAAAAATAGTGAAAACACCCGCGAAGTGCCAACAACCTTAATCTCTTCACATCACGTTGTATCCCACCCGTTCCAGGGTTCGCGATTCGTTCGGGGAGCTGCATTTGCCAGGACGCGTGTGGGGTGTCAGAAACGGCCACTGATCGAAGGAGGGTCGGGTACGACGGCGAATGGTGGAAGCGACGACGTCGGGAGCGCCGCCGGCGTTGTGGCGGTGGCGAGGTGGAATCGGAGATCGGAAGTGGAAATGTGAAATTATGGAATGTGATTAGGGAGCGAGAAGAGGATTGGAGATGGATTGACGCATAGCGTGAATTGAGGGAAGATGCAATAGCCTCTTTTACCAGAGGAGGTAGATGCACGCGCGATTTTGCATGGGCCTCAGACCCAAATTAACGTTCCTCCAAAAACAAAAAATTCCGAGGCAAAATCTTTCTGCCCCTCCATACATTTCTTTCTGTACCCATATGTCATGTGAAAAGACATTTATGTCCTTATCTTCTTCCTCCATCATCTTCCTTTTTTGATAGTGCAACCCTCTCCTCCTTCTTCTTTCTTTAAAATGTATTTTTTATTTTGTGTTCCAAAAATTACAATTTAAAATATAACTTTTACATTTGATATTTATGCATTTTGGAATCCCCGAATTATGTATTCCAAAAAAAATAAAATTAAAACATTTTAAATTAGGGTGTTGCTCCCTCCACCCCCACACATCTCTTCCTCCACCTCCCCTTTACTATTTTGTCCCTTCCTCCACCTTTCCTTTACTATTTTGCCCCTCAGTAAAATTTTATTTTTAAAATTGTTGTTTTTTAATTTTATTCATTTATAACATATTTCACTGATAACCTACGTAGTTTCTTGTATGAGTAAAATATTTTTCTACAAAGCTTGGTGATCGTGAAAAGAATTATCAAACAATCTTCTTCTTGTTCTCGGTGCAGTACGTGGTGCAGTGCGTTTATGGTGTAGTGTCCTTGTCGTGGTTCCTCTCCAGGTACGTAGTCATAATCCTTCCAATAATCCTAAACCCTAAATCCTTCCCATACTTCCAATAATCCTTTTAATATCCAAGCCTACATGAGCCGCAAAACGTAATAAAATAAAAACGAAACGTAAAAGGAACACTGCCTATGGACGAATGACATCCTTCAACGGATGTCAACATCCGTTTAAGGCAAAACGGATGTCAACATCCGTTGAAGGCAAAACGGATGTCGACATCCGCTTTGCCTTCAACGGATGTTGACATCCGTTGAAGGATGTCATCCGTCCAGAGGCAGTGTTCCTTTTACGTTTCGTTTTTATTTTATTTGTTTATTTTATTTACAGTAATTTATATTTAAATTTATAATTTTAAATGTTATATATGGTTAGTTTTTAAACGTAATAATTTTGTTAAAATATGAATTTGTTAAAATATGAATTTGTTATAGGTGGAGAAGAAGCTTAACGGAAGAGAGAAAGGTAAACGAAAATGGAAGAGAGGAAGAGGTGCAGAGGGAAGTAAATCAGAAGTTTTAAATAAATTAAAATATTAAAATAATAAAAATAAAAAATTTTAACTTTTGAGGATATAATTGTCATGGATATAATTGGCATTTTAGAAAATTGGAGAGGTGGAGGAAGAGACGGGTGGGGGTGGAGGGAGTAACACCCTTTAAATTATTGAGACGCAAGAAGAAACTGTCACACTCCAAGGATAGCTTTTCAGTCATGGGAATGGCCCATTCATCCATGCAAACCAAACTTCGATAATAGTGTTTGAATGAGTATTTATTTCAAATATTAAAATGAGATACGTTAAAAAAAAGTATTAAAATGACATTATCAAACTATTTTTTTATATAATTATGTTAATAGATTAAATTTACCATGTTCTTGTTATTTATTTAACACTTTTTTAATAAAAAAAAAAGTAAGACAAGAAATGTTCAACTGAAAATTTATAGGTCAACATTAATAAATTTAGTTAATAATAAATCAATAATTGATTTACTTGCGTGTAAATTGGTTTATAGAACAGTAATCTATTTTGGATGATTGAAAAGTACGAAAATGATGCAATTGTAGTAAACCCTAGTATTTGAAAATTGGGTGTAAGAATAGTACAGACTTTTTTGGTAAAACATAAAAAGGTGTGTTAAAGTTTACTAAATGAATGTATAAAGTTAAGTATCACCAACCATACTAACTACTTGTTAGTTCAATAAAGTCTGCTTTTTTTCAAAAGTAAACTAATTTATTGATCCTTTTATAAATTATTAGTTTTATGAGTAAATATTATTTATGGGTGAATGTTTTTTAACCTTATTATATTTCATTTTGTTTTAATCATATTTATTATTATTTATTTTCTTTTATATGTGAATACAATCTACTTATCACATGAAGAAAATAACAATAAATAAAAGTTTTTTATTTTATATTATCTTTTAAAACATTAATGTTCATAAGATTTAAAAATCAATCAATATATTCGATCAATACGATGAATTATTGTATTTAAAGAAAATAAGTACATATTGTTTTGTCTTGCCTTGTACAATGTAAATGTTTTCTCTTCAAGGTCAACACTTGGCAAACTTTTCCTATTAATTTTTATCTTGTATTGGTGTTGTTTGTTATAAAAGTTGTTTGGTTTGATCAATCTTCTTTATCCCTTTATCTTTATCATATTTTTTAGCATTTTTACGGAGAATTCTTGAGATTTCTTAATTAGAGACAATATTATATAATACGTTTATATGAAATGATTAAGTCATTCTCAAGTAATCCTATAAATTATCCGAGTGAAAAAATTTTCTGTTGACAACAATAAATGAAAGTTTTGCTCACTGATATTCTTTATGATATCTAAACTTATTACTTCCTCTTTTATATAAGTGATGTTTGAACATCTTCTACTTCAAAGCATGATGTCTCAAACAAATATATTTTGTCATAGATGTATTTTAAGTGTTTTGTTAGATAACACTTATAAGATATTTTGCCATATTAAAATTGTTGTTTACTAAAACTCCTTGTGACGTCTCTTGTATTGATTTGATTTCTACGAGAATGTTCACTAGTGCAAAAAATGTCTTTAACTAACATCACCCTTTAGACGTTCGACCCTCGAATATCCAACGTATAAAATGACCGGTGGCATTTTCTGTAAATAAAACAACCATATAAACGTCTGTTCTGGAGGGAACAGACTTCTAAAGCCATATAGACGTCTGATGTGGGGGAACAAACTTCTATATACTAATTTTTGAAATCTAAACAGTCATTTTTTGACTCCATTTAGACGTCAAATCCCGTCAATCCGACTTCTAAAGCCATATAAACGTCTGATGTGGGGGGAACAAACTTTTATATACTCATTTTTAAAACTAAAAAGTCACTTTTTGACTCCATTTAGACGTCAGATCCCGCCAATCCAACTTCTAAAGCCATATAGATGTCTGATGTTGGGAGAATAGACTTCTATATACTCATTTTTTAAATCTAAAAAGTCATTTTTTTACTCTATTTAGACGTCAGATCCTGCACGTCAGATCCCGCCAATCAAACTTCTAAAGCCAAATAGACGTCTGATTTGGGAGGAACAGACTTCTATATACTCATTTTTGAAATCTAAAAAGTCACTTTTTGACTCTATTTAGACATCAGATCCCGCCGATCCGACTTCTAAAGCCATATAGACGTTTGATTTGGGGGAACAGACTTCTATATACTCATTTTTGAAATCTAAAATGTCACTTTTTGACTCCATCTAGACGTCAAATCTCGCCAATCCGACTTCTAAAGCCATATAGATGTTTGATGTGAGGGGAACATACTTCTATATACTTATTTTTGAAATATAAAAAGTCACTTTTTGACTCTATTTAGACATCAGATCCCGTCAATCCGACTTCTAAAGCCATATAGACGTCTGATGTGGGGGGAACAGACTTCTATATACTCATTTTTGAAATCTAAAAAGTCATTTTTT